CTCGGCCCGCATCCGTTCTAAAATATAAACCTAGTATTAATATTATAGAGTTCCGTTTTCCCCTATTTTTTAATTCTTTATCCGTCTCCTCCCTTTATTATTTTTTTATATTTCTTCAATAATAAATAGGTCTTCCTTCTATACTTTTAATAATTATTATTCTAATAATAGTAATTATTCTTTATTCTTCTATACCTTTACTACTATTATATACCCGCCTATATTTTTTATAATAATACTTTCGTCCTCCTTTTTTAATTTAATAACGGCCTTACCCGCGAATTTTATTTTTTTCTTTACTACTTTATTTTTTTTATTATTACTTTTAATTTCCTTTCATTTCCTCCCTTTCCTATTTAATTCGCTTTCCCCCTACGAATTTTACTTTTCTTCCTATAATTCGACCCTTTCGCCTTCCAATATCCAACCCTCTTCTATTTCGTTTATATTTTATTACTATTCCTTCTCTTCTACCGCCGTCCTTTAAATCTCCCTTCTAATTAAAATTACCTATTTTATTAATACTTTTACTATTCGATTTTCCTTTATTACCCGACCCTTCTCTTTACCCCCTTTAATAATTTTTATTAATAGGTAATTACCCCCTACTTCCCGTTCTTCTCCTTATAATTACAACTTCCTCAATAGCCTATCTATTAAATTCAATTTTCCTAGATAATATTCAATTCTAAAATTATATACTGCTAATTCTAATACTTACCAATTCTACCTTATACTAACCCACTCCTTTTCTTAAAAATATTATAAATTTAAATAATCCGTAATTACTAAAAATAATTTATCTATATATAATAAATATTACTTCTATACCTTTAATATTCCTATAACCGCTAATAATTCTCTATTCCCAACCCTATATTTAATTTCCTCCGGCGATTTCTTCTTCGAAAAAAAAACTACTAAATATTATTTATTACTATATAACTATATAAAAACTACCCTAATTGTAAAATTTAATATATTTATTTCTATTCGGATTTATAACGCTAGATTAAAATAGTACAATATAGGAGCTTCCTAAAATAATTTTTTAAATTCCGCAAATACTTCTTCTACTTTCTTTATAAATTCGAATAACCTCCGTTTATCCCCCTTTAATAATTCTATTAGGGGTATAATTACTTTAGAATATAATATTATAAAGCGTTAATAAAATCCTATAAACCTTAGGAAGATTTAAATATTATAAACGTTCGCCGGAACCTCCTATTCCGCAATTGCTACTACTCTCTTTAAATTTATTACTACGCTTTTTAGGGAAATAATATATTCTAAAAACGATATTTACTCTATATAAAATTCGCACTTACCTAAATTTACGTAGAAGTTACAATCTTATAATTATTAAAAGACTTCTTTAATATAATTAATATAGTCTTTTTTATTTTTATTATAAATTAGGATATTATTAAAGTAAATAATATATATAGTATTTATTAGCCCCGCTAATATATTATTAATATACATTTAAAATATTACTAGTACATTTATTAATCTTATTAATATAATTAAGAATTTATAGTATTTATATTTCGTATAAAATACTATTTTCTCTTTATTTCCCTTTCGAATTCGAATTTTATAATATATATTCTTTAAATTTAATTTTATAAAGATTTTAACCGATAATAACCAATTTAGAATTTTTTAAATAAGGGGTAATATTATCCGATTCTTCTTCGTAATTTTATTTAATATTCTAAAATCGACGTAGAGCTTTAATTTTCTATTCTTTTTAAGTAAGAAGATAATAGGAATATTTATTAAGTTAATAGAAGGACGAATTTACCCCTTTTAGAGTATTTCCGTTAATTATTTATATAATATTTTTAATTCTTTAATATTTAATATATAAATCGGTCCTTAAGGTATTAATTCCCCTTTAATTAAATTAATATAATATTCTAGCTAATTATATTAAAGTAGGAGTATAACCGAGGTTTCGAATATTAATTAGAATTCTTTATATTCTAGTAGAATAATTAATTTAGGGACGGCGGGTTTACTTTTTATTTCTTTTAATAATTTTAAGGGTTATAATAATACTAGTTCTACGGGGGGTACTAGAGTAGGGTAAATATTATTAAATATTATTTAAAAAATTTTAATTAGGAGGGTAGGGGCCGGAGGCGATTCGGCCGATTTTATTATAATAGGTAGGGTTACAAACTCTAATATTAAGGAAGGGGGGATTTCGAGTAGGATATTCGTATATATAGGAGGGCGGAAACCCTCTTTTACCCTTACTATTTCCCGAAGGTCTAGTAGTAGAATTAAATCCTACTATAGTTTTATTAGGATAATTGTAATATTATATACTTCTTTTACTAATACTATATTTAATATAAAATCGCTAGCTTCAATACGAAATTGAAACGACTATTGCTGCTAATTAATATTAAGGTTCTATTTATAAAGTTAGGAATAATTAAGGATAATTTCTATAATTAGGGATTTAATTATAATAAAAGTAATTCGCTTTGTCCGTTTAGTACTATAGGAGTTATATATTCTAATAAAATAGGTAGTTATATTATATATAGGAATAGGCCGAAAGGAGAAATTAATAAAATAATAGGGTATTAGATTAATTTTTATATTTAATAGGAGTAGATACTTATTAATTAAATTTAATTCTATATTTGAATTTATTAACCCTTACATACTCTGTTAATTTTTATAAGTTTTTACTAATAACCTTATTTTTAAATATATTTATAATTTATTTATATTATTTTAAACGGTTACAACTGCCGCTCTAATTATAATTAATTTAACGTTCGTTTTATATAAGGGAGTACCTACGGGGATAGAGTAATTCTATATTAAATAGTTAATTTAGCTATAATTATAATAAGTTTAATTCGGGTACGCTATTATAAAATAGCCCGTTATACTATATTTATAATAAATATTCGGTAATTTCGGTTAAATATACCGGTTATATATATAACCTTTCTAATAATAAAGGGAATAAATAAAATTAAGATTTATTTAAAAAATAATAAGGGAACGATAGGGAAAATCGGAAGGGTTATTACTATAGAACGATTAAAAAGGAATATTCGAAAAAGAAGTAGGAGGGTACGAAAATAAAAAAAATAATAGATTATATTTTAAAAATATTTAGTATTAGCAATACAATATAAATAGTTCGATATTCTCTAAGCCTTTTAATTATTTTATATACGTTATTACTTCGTTTATTGTATTAATATTAACCGTTAAAAGAATACTTTATTTAAAAAAGGGGTATACTTAATTAGTTTAAGTAATAATTTAAATATATTTTAATTAATTGTATAATAGATTGAATTCTTCGGTATAATAGTAATTATAAAAATTACAAATAATTTCCGAGGCGCTTTACTATATACGTTCGAATTTATTGAGAGCGGATTGTTTAATAATTTAAATATTACTATTATATTTAATTTCTAAGAAGGTACGGAGGTCGCTCTATATAAGTATATTATAAATAATATTATATTTAGATTTACTATAGAGAACTAATATATATTTAATTTATATATTCTTAGGATTACTTTTAATATAATTAATAGCGAATAAGAAGGAAGTACGGGGGTATTTCTAAAAATATATATCGATATTATAAAAGTAATTCTATAGTTATAAAAAACTTTCGTTAATAAATTTAATAATATTATATTTAGGACAATATTTAATATAGGCTAGCGTAGCCGCAGTTAATAAAAGGGTAATTATAGTAATAACCGCCGATAAAGGGGTGGTAAGGGGAGATATAGTAGAAATATAAATTTAGTTATAGAAAAGGTAATTTTAATAATAAAACTTAGTAGGAATAGGGAGGTAATTTCCTATTGAATTTTATTTAATAAGGCTTACGAATACGAATTATTTTTATTAGAATATATATAAAGGGAGGTAATTAAGAAGGAATTTAATTATAGTAAACCGAAATTCGAATAATTATTATTTATATACGAATTTATTAGCTTTCGAGGTTTAGGGATACGAACAGGGAATTTAGGGCAGCGTAGGGGGGTAATCTTCATTATTATCTTCTTTAACGGATTTTATAGTAGGCTAGCGTTATTATAATAAAAGTAGAGGAAATTAAATTATTTTAATTATAATAATTATAGGGGTAATAATATAAAAGGGATAAGGAATAGTTTTAGTAGTACGAGAGATAGACCGGCTACTACGTATATATATTTTAATAGTATTAATTTAATTCTTAGAAGAAAAGTTATTAATTTATTAGGAATATAGGTAAAAAGTAGGTTAAAGTAACTATAATTGTAGTTATACGTAGGGGATAGTAAGTTAGGGGTTAATTTAAAAATATATTAATAATTACCGATTATAATAAATTATATTCCGTTAAATTTTTTTTATATTTATGTAAATTCTGTTTATTTGTTAATGAGTATTATGGAGTTCCGTACTAGTTTGGCGCTTCGGCGCGGTACCGAATTATTCTTCCTGTAAGCCCGACCTAATATAGGCGTTATCGTTAGTAATCCTACGTATTAGTTGACGAAGGGGAGTAGTAGCCGCTGAGGTGCTTCCGTGTACGAGCTCTGAGCCTCCTGATACTATATTATATTCGTATTCTAATTAAATCCGCCGCTATCCTATATTTATATCCAATCCGACTTAGTATTACTATTATTATATTATACTATATAAGAAACCTCCCGGCTGTCACAGGGTTAGCCTGTGTGCCTTGTGCCTGGTGCCAGCGTACAGCAGCTTCTAAGACTGCCGTACACTGTTATTACCGCCGGCAAGCCGACTACTGCCGGCAGCTAATTAGTCAGAACGCTGCCTGCCGCGGGTCTGTTAGACCCGCCGGCGGTTGCCTTTATAAGGCCAGCCTTCTAGGCACTCGGCTGCACTTCTCTTCCTTTCTCCTTCGTGCAATTACGCATAATCACATCTACCACCTACCCTTTGCCCGTGATACCGGCGCTGCGAAGAAAACGCTTATTTTAAAGGCGTTGGAGGCTATAGCCCCCTTCGACGAATCGGAGGGCGAGGTTGTAGCGGAGGTTGTAGTAGTTAGTACCGGCCTTGCTAATTCGCCTTACGACGACGTTCCAGTTAAGTCCGTTATTCTTAAGAAGGTTAGAAAATACTTATCGAAGGAGACGTAGGAGAAGAAGGGCGCCGCTATAGGACACTTCCAGCCTCCCAAGTCTTATAAATGGTGTAACTCCTGTACCTGTAGCCTGCAGCGCATTCTGGTAGGGTGTAGACTGCGGCCACCGTATAGGCTGCGGCGGACCGTATCGGCGCCGATCCTTCGTTTATCGGCGACTATCCGGCTTCGGATTCTATTACAGCGGTCGAGTCTCCGTTAAAGAAGAGGAAGTTTGCTTACGTTCCTATCGATACTTCCGCGGATTTTACTCTACTCTGCAACGACGTCGCTGTGATTCGTCTTTATGTCGTAAGGGTTGAGGAGATTGTCCGCACTCTTTCCAATAAGGTTGATTTGGCTGCCGTTGATATTGAGTGTATCGGTGAGGGTGTGATGGCGATCCACGCCAGGCAGAATGGTCTTGACGACCAGGCTTTTCGGTAGATTCTGAGCGTTATAGCCCGCCTCGAAGATTCTAAATCGAGAGGGACGGCATTCGGGATCCCCCGTCTCTATGGCGGTACCTACCGAGTCAAACGCCTCATCTCAAAACTCATCCAACTTCCATAACGGTTCGGACGAAGCTTCCTAGAAATCTCAGTCCCGAGAGTCTCTAATTTCATCTCAAGTGAGCGGATGATCTTGGCAGCCCTTCACTCAGACTCTCAGCTGGCAAGAATAAGGGCACAGGCCACAGTACAAACGCACAATCAGAGGAGGGGGAGCAACCAGTTCCTTCCTCCCCATTCTTCCTCCTTCCACCGCTATCACTTACTATTATGAAAGCAAAACCAGGAGCGCAAGTGGAAAAGCTCTCCCAACTCTCTCTTGAACACCTCAACACTCTACCACATCAAAACACAATAAAGACTTCAGTCCGCCTGCACCTCCAGAGACTCCAAGAGGGTTGTCATCATCACTTCCCATCCAAGAGGAACATTCTGTAGGTACAGCTTCCTTCCTTCATTCCTGCGTTTGATCACTGTGACTAACTCAACGCGTTAGGACTCCTATATAACCACCACCAACATATTTTCTTTCCCCGTTCGGCCAATCCAACCTCAGGGTAAGTCTCCTGTCTCCTCTCGCAAGGTACGCGCTTGCCCAAACGAGACGATACTAACATCTTCATCCAGCCGCCAAAGATGTGCGTAATCTACCACATCTACTTCTCCCAGTGCGATCACAAAGACGCACTATTTGTGCCGTGCGCAGACAGGGAGCCGCGGACCAAGGACTGTCCAAAGGGGGACCCAAGACAGGTCAGGCACGTGCAGGACGGTCCCTGCGAGGACTGCCACCCGCCCCAGGGGGACGAGGACCCTGACGCCGTGGTGGAAAGCGAGCAGGAGCTGAAGCAGTAAGGAAAGTCTGGAAGAACATATCAACGGGCGGGATGAGAATAGTTCAATGTGCAAAGAGGGCGTCTCGAGACATCAACTACATGTAGTCTGGTAGAACAAAACCATCACCTCTTTTGCCCCCAAACTTGGCAACAAGATCCTGAAGATGCCGTGACCAGTACCAAAACCCCCCATGACCAAAAAGGATACAACCAGCGCAGAGGGGCCTTGTCTGTCCCATTCCCCTTAGCTATGTGGTCGGCACTGTTCTGGTGCTTCGCCAAATTTCCAGCGGAGCCAAATGAAATCTCACATGTCTCGCAACGAGACGTATGATTGCGGGCGTTTTCTTGGTATGTGGCCGTTCGGTGTGCCTTACGTTCCTCTGTTTCGGAGGTTTCAGCGTATTTGCGCCTAAGCGCTGCGTGCTCTTCTGGGTTGTTCTCCTTCAGGTGCCGATACCGCCTCTTGTTGGCCGCGCCATTCTTGGCTGCCATCGCACGCCAGCGCGCTGGAAAGTCACGCTTCATTGTATGGTAGGTGTCGCGCTTTTTCTCTAGATAGGCTTGGTGCCTCTGCTCCGACGCTTCCTCTAACGGGTTCATGGTGGTACCTTTGGTGGTTCGATATGTCGACGCCGGTTGTCTTGTTCGAGGGACTGTTCTGGAGATGCGTCCATAGAGGTACAAATAGGTTGTATCGAGCTGTCCGCGTGACATAAGAGAACGAAGTTGCTCGAACTTCGACATCCTAGTGATGAGCGAAGGCTGACGTCGTCAGCAGAGGAACGCATATATCCCTCTTTGGCCATCAAAGGAAGGCCGCGAGCAAGCGCTTTTGCCGCATGCCAGGCTTTCTTCTGCTGCCCGGTACGCAATCTGCGGCTGGGTTGCGCATCCTAAGCGCGACGGTTGTCAAGAACAAGAAAAGTTCGTGTTTGGAGAGAAACCGGATGAACAGAAACGATCAAAGATAGAGGTAGGTTCCGTCTCATCTCTCAGTTCATTTCCTGTTCTATCTCCTTGTCTTCAGGAAAACATATTCGTCGGAATACCTAACGTCGAACGGAAAAATCGTCTTGTCAGTTGAGATTATCTGGTCGACTGGAGTTATATCGTCTAGTCTATGGTTATTGGGTAATGTCTTTGAATGAAGGACCAAATAGCGTATAATTACTTCCAAGACACAAGGCCATCTTTCTCTCCGGCGAGTAGACCGGCGAAAAGGTCTGTCGCACTTCATACCTCTTCCACCGGACGAGCTGGTCATGCCGCACGAATTCAACCGCTTTTCGTGGCTCGCAGCCCCTTCACAGTCGTTCAACGACTATCACATCAATCAGGCTGCGCAGGTAGGCCATGTGTACTCCGTCATCGTAACTCAGTATGCAAGAGATCCAGAAGGCTTTGAGGAGAGCGCAAGGGGAATACAAGTCTTACCATATATGCTCACTTGGGGCTATCCTGCAGAACGCAGGTCTCCAGGTAGACATGATTTATTCCGACCAAAGCCAAGTCGAACGGGCACACTTCTTCCACAACTGCATCAGAAGAACGCCGGAATTGACGTTTTGATTCTCGAGTTACACGCCACAGGCGTGACCTCCATGCCGCATGCCATATCGGCATTGGATTCAATTACGTGTGGTACCCCAACACCATCCTCCAAGTCAGGGGCCGCCTGTACCGAATCGGTCAATAAGACGCCCTTGAGTAGTTTCTACCAACCGCCAATGGCACCATCTGCGATTGGACAGAAGAGAGGACGCTGGGCAAGGCATGTTGATCCTCCGGTCGGACTCGACTTCTCGAAACTCTTCATCCAACCTCTATCAGAGCGAAAGCTGACCGATGAATAGTGGATTCATGAAATCGTAGCGAGTTTGGCGCTGGATAAGATGGGTATCTCTCCCGAATTCGAATGCTAGGTGACAATTTACGATGGGGTATCTGAATGGCTTGGACTGGTCCCAATTGGGCTGGTAGCCCTCGGGAAAATTAGCTCCGTTGCCTGGATATGTGACAGTATCGCCGTGTTCTGTGATTTGTGTTAGTGAAATGGACGACATAATGGCGCGGGAAAAAACGGGAATCGACTTACTGTCCAAACCGCACCACTCGTCATGGCATAACGACGGATGCCTGTCTTTATAATCACATAACCGCCGCGCTTTTACTGGTTGATCAACCACGGCTCCTGCGGCGGGCCATGGTCTTCCGAGGAGGAAGATTCAGACGAGGATGAGGCTTCGCGGTCGCGACGACGGGGGCTAATGTCGGATGTGTCACTGTCCGGGTCCGGACGAATGTTGACCAACACATCGAATTCGCGTGGGAGGCCGTTCTCCACCATGGTGGTCGCCCAATCTCGTCGGCTCGTAGGGCGTGTTGGGTTCGACAGCTTCATCGAGGGATCGAGATCTAGCCGGGGATTTGGAGCACGGTTTTGTTCGAAATGGATTTTGGACGAGGGTTGACAAAGCGATAGGAGAAAACTACGGAAAGATTGGTTAGAAAGTCGAAGAAGGCTGGGAAGGCACAGTCACGGAGCTGTACTTTACCGTTGAATTGGGAAATATGGTCTATGGTACTCATGTATTGAGTTCGGAACGCAAAGAGAAACAAGGATGAGAGCAGAAAAGAAAAAGGACCGACGGCAAATGCCCATCAGAGGAAGGAGTTGTGGGCTGACCAAGAACGTGCGGTTCAGTGGACTACAGCGGGTATTTTGCAGTGGACATTGTCACTAACCGCCCTGTTGGTGCAATACCCGGACCGACACGGACACTCGTGGGTATTGGAGGTTTTTGGTGGGTATTACTTAACGTAGGTAGGAACTACCTGACTTCTTTGAGAACCATTGTAGCCCTGCGTTGTTCATGACCGTTTCCCTTGATGCTTCAAGTGCTCTACCGGCAGTCGCAGAGGTCAGGTCGGGTTCCTTCTGTGTGTTGGAGATGTCGGGTGCCAGGCACGAAAAAAGGGACCCACATCTCCCCTTTCATAACCCCACAACCAGATCCAGCCTCGATACCGTTGACCGGCTCGAGACCGAGGCCGAAGTACAGCATGCGCCTTCTTCCCATCTTTGCAAACTGCAGTGGAATCGAACCGTTGGAACCCTTTCTCCTCCTACCAACTATCATAGCCTTCCACGCGAATCCAAAGGAACGAAGCGATGGAACAACGAAAGACAACAAAAAGACTCTCACTGAAGCGTGAAGCGAGTCGAAACCTGGGTGCGGCTCTTCACCAGTCTTCGTTCCATCGGTGCTATCTTTCCCACAAACGCGATAGACCAGGCAACAGACCTTGGAACTTGTATTTGGAACCTGGATGACCACCGAAGAATATCAGACGAGCCACGAAAATGATTATAAAATGAGATGGTGGGAGATTTCCTATCCTGTTTACAACTCTGCGTCGCGATCACCTTGCACAACCACAAGACAAAACGTCCACTGACCTCGACACCTCTCAGTCGTCAACTTACTGAACAGGTCAAAGACCTTATAGAAGCAGAATGTCCCAAGATACCACGCCGGCAGCAGAGACCCCGGAAGTGTTGCCAGCCATGGCTTCACAGCGGACACACCCACGTCGCACCGCGCCCACGGGTGGCCCCTTTCCTCCAACAACATTGCGTCGCCAGAACGCCCAAGTCCTCCTCCCAGAGGATTTCATTCATGAAGCCCGCCGACAACCAGTAGCCTTTTCCAACGGCGTTCAGGAAGACGAGCCCGACTCCCCACCTACAAGCCAGGCCCGACAGGATACTTCGACAGGAGACAACAGCAGTCGAGCTACAACACCACCTCAGGAATATCTGGCCAACTCCCCAGTTCGAACACAAGATTTAGAAGTCACCGGCTCATCAAGTCCTACCGATGAGGACATCCAGAGAAACGTTGAGACACTCCAACGTCGCCTTCGTGCAGGTGTCATCACGCTTGTCCCCCGCCCTTCGCAGCGGGCCCAAACTCGGCCTCTGCTATTTCAAGAACAACCCAGTCTTCAAGATCGCAGACACCCGCGCAGTCCCAGCCTTGTTCCTCGCTCCTCCAGGCGCATAAGGCTTACCTTACCCCCTGACGGCCCCGAGCCCGAAGTCGATCCCTTCCGACCGCCGCCGCCGTACTCACCCCGTAATCCCCGCCTACATCCCACGAGCACGGACTACGACCTCACGACCAATTTGTACGGCCGCCCTCACAACAATGGTGCGCCGCCTCTCCCGCTCTACACCCCCATCGCTGACCCCAGCGAACGCGTCCTCCAATTTGGGGGAAGTGAGGATGAGCAACGGAACGCCTTGGTGCGGTTGCGTGAGGAGAGGGGACGACAGCAACCCGAGGAGCGATTGGGAGAGATGCGGTTGCCGGACCGGGAAGGAAGAAACTACAATGGAATCGAAGAGTTGCAGTGGGTAAGAAACGCGGTGGCTGAATTGGATGTCGAGGATGCGGGCTTGGAGGCCGACATAATTCGGCTATTCATGGACGACCCATTCCCTTGACGTTCATTCGCAACGGCGATAGGTTGGGGTATCACTTGAGAAAACAGTAGAGGCAGAAGAAGAGTGGTGGTTTCATCGTGACCGGAGCTCGGAGCCCGACTTGGCGGCTATGGGGGGTCGATGACAGGGGTAGCGATCTTGCAGTCGACGGCACACATAGCGGACTCAAATGAAAAGGATATGGGTGAGAGAGGAAATGAAAGTTAGCGAACATGGAAGTATCACGGCTTGAAGGGCTTTTGACAGCTTGCGCAAAGGTGAAAAGTAAAGAATTGGGCTGTCAACTAGCGCTACCAAGTAAGGGCAGTTTGCGGGGTCATCGCTCATGCTTGCAAATAGCGCGATAGCAAGATACTCTTTCCTGGGATGGACACTCGTAGGCTGTTTGGTATTGATCTCATTTGAATCGGTTGTAACTTGAAATATCGACTCTGAAGCCTCCTAGAAAAGTGATGATTTTGTTTTTTCCTCTACTTCTCATGTCCTGAAATGTCTCGACAACGGCAGTCGTCCTCTCCAAGAACCTCACTATCTAAGTCGTCAACGCCAAGACCCACATCATCCCCTGGCTAGGTGCTAGCTGGGCACTCGACACTCGACAGGGCGCTGGCAAAACACTGCAGTGCTCAGCGTCAGAATCACCAACGGGCTTCAAGACAGCAGCGCGCGAAACACCACTCATCAACGGTAACCACTTGATTCCACACGCTACCTCAAATTCTTAATGGTCTGAGTCATTTCAGTGACCGTATAAACAGGGACATCCATTTTCATCAGCTTCCAGGAAAATCAGGCATAGATTGTATGTGTGGGTAGTGGGTACCTGCATTGCATATCTACCGTACCTATACCGCCCGGAATATGTAGATTACCTATCTGTCCGCGAATAAATACCTAGGTACCTAGGGAGTGGGAGAGACGCATTGCGGGCCGGCGTATTGTAAGTTTCGTAGTGTACAGTAGCTTCTTCTTCTTCAGATGTCGCACGCCGGCTACCGTTGTCTCTTTCCCTCGCTGCCTACCTACCTAGGTACTTACGGTGCGGTGCTGTCAAGTAAAAATGCAAGTCAAGCAAATTGAACTGCTACCTGTGTCCATGCCAGGAAGAACAGCTTTCAACATCCAAAGGAATTATGTATATATATTCTATGTTGCGCTTGCGTGTATGCGGACATATATGCAGACAAATGTACAACCACGGTACGTAATTTACCTAGTTGCCGGCATGCGTTTTGTGTATTTCTTGTATCGCTCAGTGCCGGTGTGCCTCCGGGCGTCCAAAACTGCACCACTTGGAAATCTGACATCTGCGATGGACGTCCTTTTTCATGAGCCCGAAGAATGTATTCGGAGGCAAAGCTCTGCGACGTGCTATTCAATGTTCCTGACTTCGCTTCGTTAGTTGAAAAGGACACATAGAGGTGAAAAGTGGGCACTAGCGGAAGTGAAGAACGTCAGTCTAGATGACTGGAATCCATCTGCTCCTTCTTGTCCCAAGCCTTGAGTTGAAAACGGGCGGTCACAGGCAATGTTGAAGACCTATTGATGGATAGGTGAATAATTTGAGAGCTAAACTTTGAGGCATCAATTCCATGTGAATGCAATGTACTGCAGTGAATGGTAAATGGTGAAGTGCGCGTGCTGCTGTAAGGCACCGTGGAACTAAATGTGACCTCCGGGATGCAGAAAATAATTATGTCCGTTAAACGTTGTGCCTTTTCCCTTTCATTGGCCCTTCCTTCCTTCAGTTGTTATCTTCAGCACCTATATCTTCTGCTCTTCCCTCGCCCTTGACCTTCTGTTTTAGTTTCTTACCACAAGAGAAATCACCATTGTCTTTCTGTGATCACCTTTCCAACCTCCAGCAATATTCCTGCTATCCTTTCTCCAAAACAATCCTCCTCGTCATCCATATCAAGAAAAGAACACCTCGTCGCTTCGCTTCGATATTCCATCATCAAGAGTAAACTTCGCCTCAACCTTCCATACTTCAAGTCTTCAACAACCACACACTTCCACAATGACATCTTCCAAAACTCCTAGGACCCTCCCCGCCCTCCCCGAGGAGATCTGGCGTCTGATCATCCAACATGGAGTAACGTTGCGAGCAACCTCCGACTTCCGCACCTGGCGATGCGACCACTCCAACGAAATAAACGACCAACGCCTCCACGACCCAACTACCCGATTCGACCACCAGCGCGAGCGGAGGGACTACGCGGCTATGCTTCCGCTTGCTCAAACAAGCAAGTTCTTCTCTCGTCTCGTGGCAAACGAGCTCTACCAGAACATCGTGCTGTGTGACTACCATGGTATCGGACGTGGCTTGAAAGAGCACTTGCCGCGTTGGTGTGCCTGTCTAGTGGTCTTCGGAGCCTGTCTATTCAGGACCCTCCCCCGAGCAGTGGCTGGGCACCAGGGTGCCCGCGGATGGATATAGACGGGTTTGAGCACACCATCCGTAAGATCCGAAAACTCCCTAGCTCGTATGGAAAGATTTTCCAGCAGCTGGAAGCGGTGTCCATAGCGACGACGAGATTCAAGAACGACTCTGACGAGGCGTTCTCCGTCTATTCATCGCCGCTTCTGACTGGCTTTCAGGTCCTTGGGTTCCTCATAATGAGGCACTGGTAAGTCAGACTGAACCCTGATCCGTTTCTGCGCTCATCTGGCTAACTTGAAATACTATAGGCATCGCTTGGCTGACTACCGGTCAACCTTGGTCCACCTGGACATCGGCCACCTCTACCCCCAACTCATCAATGCTAGATGGGTTGGCCTCACAGAACCCAGCGGGGCTCGAGCCCGCGAAGCCAGGGAGTTCAGACGCATTCTGTCGACCTTCACTCGTCTCAAATTCTTGCGCGTCTCTTATGCCCTCCTTATCGGCCAGCTGGAAGAGAAGACCAAAAACTTTGGCGACATGCTATCCGAACTCCTCCCTCCGTCCGTCGGAGATTTCCAGATAGCGGTGTTCAATCATGGGGTGGACAACCGATATGATCGACCAAACATTGACATGTCCGTCAAGTGCTTTTTCGAGGGTCTCGAGTCATGGACATGGGACCTCGAACAGTATAGATACCGGCTCGATTTCTTCGCCAAGTACCGCAATCTCTGGGATATCAGTATACTGGTTCACCAGAAGGGAAATTCCCAGGACCAATCGCGGCGGCGTTGACGGATCTACTTCCAACCCTTTGCTTATGTTGTTTATTGCATCTACTTTTGCTAATGGTGGTTGGTGTTCTTACCCATGTGCGTGTCTGCACTCAAGGTCTTATCTGACAGTAGGGGTTGTTGGTGTGCGAGTGTTCTTGTGAAGGATTATAAAAGAACACTCAAAGGGAAGCATGATATAGGGTAGTTCATTTATTTTCTTATTTTTCTCTACGCTTTCTTCTTTTCTTTACTTTAGACTCTTACTTTCAAATAATAGGTAGAGGCATTAGGGCCTTAGTTTATTGCTTATTGAAGAGCAAATTTATTATATTGGTCGGATGGGACCTTGGGAATATAATAAATAAAAAGGGAATATAAGGAGGAAATCCCGACCGAAATAAGAGAAATACTCTAAACTAGACTAAATAATATTTATCTTCGAAAATAGACTAAAGAGTCCCGCTCCTATACTATAGAATTACTATCGAATGCCCTCGTAATAGTAAGTTTAATAACCCTTCTATAAAAGAATTAACTCCTAGACTTATTTAGCCAACCTAGGACTAATAAGGAGAATTTTATCCTTCTCGTTAGTCTTTAGTAGTAGTTAATAAATTGTAACTTTATTACTCTATCTTAATTCTTAAGGACGAAAGCCATATTCAACTCCAGATCTGCTCCTCGCTACATTTAGGTGTAGTAGGGTGCTTTTTGTGTTGGTGTGGTTTTTGCTCCATTTCAATAGGGGGTATAATAGTAGTATATTATATACTAAATACTACTACTATATTTAACTATTCTAAAGAAGGCTTAATATTAATTAGTTTAAATTAATTCGGAGGAATAGTAGGACGGAAGGATCCCTAATAGTAGTACTTAGCTAGTAATTTATTAGATTTACTAATAAAAAATAAATTATTAATTTCTATATTAGAAGTATTTAAATTAATATTTCTAATTAATAAGTAATTATATTATTACTTATTGGTAAAACTACTAATTCTCGGATCCTTTACAATATATTGTCCTAAATATAACCCTCTAAACTACTTATATAATTCGGAGTATTATTTAAAATAATAGTTATTACTATATTTTAGGTCTTTACAAACGCTATACAGGGACTAAGTATCAGGAGGCTAAGAACTCGTACACAGAAGCACCTCAACGGCTGCTACTCCCCTTTATTAATTAAAGCGTAGGATTATTTATAATAACGCCTATATCGGGTCGGGCTCGCGGGAAGGATAATCTAATATTACGCCGAGGCGCTAAATTAGTATAAAGCTCTATAATATTCGTTAGCGGATAAATAGAGTTTGTATAGGTATAAAAAAGGTTTAATAGAGCGTATTTTATTATAGTCGGTAACTATTAATATATTATTAAATTAACCCCTAATTTACCGTCCCTTATATGTAGCTATAACTATAATTATTTTAATCTACTTTTCATTTATATTCTTAATAAATTAATAATTCTTCCTCCGGGAATTGAGCCAATACTATTAAAATATATATACGTAACGGCCAATCTATTTCTCGTACTATTAAAACTATTCCTTATCCTTCTTATATTATTATCCCTATAGTTATTATAATTAAAATAACCTAACTTCCTTCGCTTTTATTATAATAATGCTAATTTACTATAGAGTCCGTTGAAGAAGATAATAATGAAGATTACCCTTTTACGCCGCCCCGGATTCCCCGTTTATATCTTTAAATTTTAGAAACTGATAAGTTTGTATATAAGTAATAATTATTCGAATTTCGGTTCGTTATAATCAAATTCCTCTTTAATTACCTCCCTTCGTATATATCCTAGTAGGAGTAGTTTGTATTCGTAGGCCTCGCTGAATAAAATTTAATAAGAAACTACCCCCCTATTTTTACTAGGTTTTATTATTAAAATTACCTCTTTTATAATTAAATTTATATTTCTACTATATTTCCCCTTACTACCCCTTCGTCGGCGGCCGTCGCTACAATTACCCTTTTACTAACCGCAATTATACTGGCCTATATTAAATACTATTTTAAATATAATATTACTAAATTTACTAGCGAAAATTTTTTATAATTATAGAATTACTTTTATAATATCGATATATATTTTTAAAAATACCCCCGTACTTCCCTCTTATTCGCCGTTAATTATATTAAAGGTAATCCTAAGAATATATAAATTAAATATATATTAATTCTTTATAATAAACCCGGGTATAATACTATTTATAATATACCTATATAGAACGATTTCTATACTTTCTTAAAGACTAAATATAATAATAATATTTAAATTATTGAATAATCCGTTCTCAATAAATTCGAATATATATAATAAAGTACTTTAAAAACCGTTTATAATTTTTATAATTGCTATTATACTAAAGAATTTAATTTATTATATAATTAATTAGAATATATTCGGATTATTATTTAAACTAATTAATTACGCCCCCTCTTTAAATAAAGCGTCTTTTCGATAGTTAGTATTAATATAATAAATAAAGTAATAGTATATATAGAACGGTTAGAAGGTTTAGAAAATATTGAACCATCTATATTATATTACTAATACTAAGTATTTTTAAAGTATAATCCATTGTCTTTTTTATTTTCGTACCCTCCTACCTCCTCTTTAAATATCCTTTCTTAATTATCCTATAATAATAATCCCTCTAATTTTCTCTATTGCCCCCTTATTATTTTTTAAATAAATTCTAATTTTATTTATTCCCTTTATTATTAGAAAGGTTATACGTATAGCCGGTATATCCAACCGAAGCTACCGAATACCTACTACGAATATAGTATAATGGGCTATTTTATAATAGTGTACCTAAACTAAGCTTATTATAATTATAATTAAATTAGCTATTTAGTATAGAATTACCCTATCCTTGTAAGTACCCCCTTGTATAGAGCGAACGTTGAATTGATTGCGGTTAAAGCGGTAATTATAACTATTTAGAATAATATAGGTAAATTGTAAATATATCTAAAGATAAAATTATTAATAAGGACTTATAGAGATTAGTAGAATATACGAAAGTTAATAAATTCGGATGCGGAATTAAATTTAATTAATAAGTATTTATTCCTATTAAATATAAAAATTAATTTAATACCCTATTATTTTATTAATTTCTCCCTTCGGCCTATTCTTATATATAATATAATTACTTATTTTATTAAAATATATAATTCCTATAGTATTAAATAGACGAAGCGAATTACTTTTATTATAATTAAATCCCCGGTTATAAAAATTATCCTCGGTTACTTTTAACTTTATAAATAAAACCCTAATATTAATTAATAGTAATAATTATTTTAATTTTATATTAAAGCTAACAATCTCATATTGAATATAACCCTAGTAAAAGAAGTATACAATATTATAACCGTCCTAGTAGGGCTATAGTAGGATTTAATTCTATTATTAGACCCTTAGGAAATAATAAAGGTAAAGGAGGGTTTCTGTTTTCCTATATATACGAATATCCTATTTGAAATCCCTTCTTCTTTAATATTAGAACTTATAATTCTATTTATTATAATAGAATTAGCCGAATTACTTCCGGTCCCTACCCTCCTAGTAAAAGTTTTTTAAGAAGTATTTAATAGTATTTACCCTACTTTAATACCCCCTACAGAATTAATATTATCATAATTCCTAGAATTACTAAAGGAAATAGAAGGCGAACCCGTTATTTCCGAACCGATTATTCCGCTAAAATATAAAGAGTTCTAATTGGTATTTAAAGTTTCGGCTATACCCCTATTCTAATATAATTGGCTAAAATATTATATTAATTTAATTGAAAGAGAATTAACGCTTTAGGGACTAATTTATATGTTAAATATTAAAGAATTAAAAATATTATACGAATAATTAGCGGAAATACTCTAAAAGGGATAGATTTATCCCTTTATTAATTTAGTAAATATTCCTATTATTTTTATTCCGAAGAAGGGTGGAAAATTAAAATTCTATATTAATTTTAAAGCGTTGAATAAAGTTATAAAAAAAAATTGGATAGTATTATCTTTTATTTAAAAGATTCTTAATTGGCTATTATTAATTAAGGTCTTTATAAAATTAAATTTAAAGGACGTATATTATAGAATTCGGATTCGAAAGGGAAATAAAAAGAAGATAGCATTTCGTATGAAGTATAAATACTATAAATTTTTAATTATATTAATAGGATTAGCGAATATACTAGTAATATTTTAAATATATATTAATAATATATTAGCGGGGCTAATAAATATAATATATATTATTTATTTTAATAATATTCTAATATATAGTGAAAATAAAGAAGACTATATTAATTATATTAAGGAAATCCTTTAATAGCTATAAAATTATAACCTTTATATAAATTTAGGTAAATATAAATTTTATACAAAGTAGGTATTATTTTTAAAATATATTATTTCTCTAGAGGGTATAGTAATAGATTTAAAGAAGGTAGTAGTAATTGTAGAATAGGAGGCTCCAACGAACGTTTATAATATCCAAATTTTCCTAGGGTTTATAAAATTCTATCGATATTTTGTAACGTTGTATTTTAAAGTAACTACGCCCCTAACGGAATTATTAAAGGGGGATAAACGGAAGCTATTCGAATTTATAAAGGAAATAGAATAAATATTCGTAGAATTTAAAAAGTAATTCTAGGAAACTCCTATATTGTATTATTTCGACCCAATATTATAAATTCGAATAGAGATAGACGTATTAGACTTCGCAATTAGGACGGTTCTTATATAATTATATAGAAATAAATAATATTTAATAGTTTTCTTTTTAAAAAAGAAATCGCTAGAGGAAATTAAGTATAAGGTTGGTGATAGAGAGTTATTAATAATCGTAAGAATATTAAAAGTATAAAAATAATATTTATTATATATAAATAAACTATTCCGAATAATTATAAATTATTTAAACCTATAATATTTTTAAAAAAAGGAGCGGGCTAATACGAAATAGAATTAGTAAATA